GAGTCCCATAACCGGGATACACTCTAACGCTGCTGCCACGTGACTAATCATTCGCAGGCGCAGCGTACAGAGCGTGAAACCGTAGCTTTAGTGCTGGAGTTTCTAGTTAAGATGCTTTATGATCACCAGATCCAAGTTAAAAGTGAATCCAACAAAGACCGTGCTTGTAATGTAACTACTGAAGACGGAAAATAAGCTATAAATTGTCTTCCAGGCTCTCTTTTCCTTATCAGTAACTTTTGTCTGGATATTATTTATTAATCCAAATAAGAAAATAAGTTTTAATCCACGCGCTGCTTGGACAGTTGTTGTTTCATGTGTGAATTACAGCTGAGTGGAGAAATTTTGTAGTAGATGTTAGTTTGTCGTTATTGATTATCTGTCGTTATTCCATGCCAATTAATATTTAAGCTCTGCACAAATAGTGTTTACTATTCAAAGGCATCTTTCTAATAATTCGTATTCTGGGAATCTCGATAAATGCTCTATTTACTCGCAACTAATCGATCATGGCAAGTGCTGTTCTAACAACCTTATTTTTACTGCTTCCGTAAAGGCTCTTCGAAATCATAAGCTGCACTCTACCAGTCCATCTAGCGTATAGCTCCTTGAGTTTGGCCCGGACACATAGTTTTTTGGGTACCATGGCATAAGTCGTTACTTTCCTATTCATTTCACTTTCGGGCGTGACCTTAATCCTTACGGTAATGACGTCGATGGAGGTCTCATTGGATGATGGACAACATTTAATTGTGGTGCTGTTTTGATATGCGATATTCTTCTATTTTACCAGTCTGCTAGCCCATCCATAATAAAAGCTACTACTACCTCACGGTCTGACTTTTAAACTTTTCATGTAGAAATTAGCATTTTATGAAAAAATTTCTACCACTCGCCCCCTTCACACTTAAGTGATTTTGCCTTTCTTATGTGGGGTCACTATAGTCTTAATAGGAAACATCGGCAAATCCTTTTTCACAACCAACATAATTAAACCACCACTTGGCTAAAAAGTTCGCAACGTTTTTCTAAAGCATGGGAGAAGGATTGAGGCTGACACTGAGAAATCCATCCTCGAAGCGCATTCCTAACTCTAATAACTGATTTGCTTGAATCTATCACGACGCGATGAATGTTGTGGCTTTGGGGTTTGAAAACTGTCAAGATAATTCAGTCCTCGTGAGAGTATTTTTGAGCTGTTGCTGACTGAGCGTCAGACTGCTGTGGCTTTTTATTAACTTTTTCCGTTTGGTAGTCTCCCTGATGTTATAAAAGTGTCGTATATATAATGAGGACAGACATAGACGAACTGTCCAGCTGTGTAAGCTCCTGCACCCGCACCCACTTTCAGTCGTCTTAGCATTGATTTTTATCGAAGTCATGGGAGTGAGGGCGGAGAAAGAATGTTAGATATTGTACAAGTCCACTCTACTAAAGTAATTCGCGCGCAGGTCTCGATGCCAAACAAACCATGTAAGGCACGTGATGAACGTCTTTGCTCGCGATTGTCGAATTGTCGCCGCCTTCATAGCTTCTCCTGCATGACCTGGTGGTGGTATCTGATCCACGACCTGAGTGCCAACCCAACCCTCTGGTCTTGAAGCAGTTGAGAGGCCAGACAGAGAACCAGCTGGTGTAGCAAAGTTCAGAATCGAAAGTCCCTAAGGTGTTTGCTTTGCTTTTACCTCACCTGCAGACGTCCCTACATTCCCTAGCCCTTTGGTTACAGGAAAAGTTTTTGTTAAATTATTTTTCTTTGAACCCCTTGTCGTCTGTTTCTGTCCATGAATTCATAATGAGGAATCAGCTGCATCCCGGCAAGCGTCAGTTGTTTTGACGTTTTTCATTTTCTACTGGTTCTGACTTGCATAAAGTTGTGTACTAACACCCGCCTCCACTCGTACAATGCTGTAGGACACATCCAGGGAGGACTGCTTTTTAAGTAAAAAAATGTTTCTCCAAAAAAACATAGTAAACACAAAACGTGAGGAACAGTAGACGGTAAACAAATTCTTTTTATCCCTCTTGGCTTATCAGCAGTTCCTCCAGTCATTTATTACTGCCTTTGGTCAGGTAATAAGCTCATCTTAACTGCCGGCTTCCATTTGTCCTTTGGGAATAGTATTATTTGTATATTTTATGCCCACTACAGAATTACAAGAAATTCCTTACTGCTTCACTTTAACTCCTACGTAGCTCAGGAAGTATTCTGTACCTGCGATTCCAAAAATGCACTGCAGAGTGAAATGCTTCTACTTTTATCCTAACATGAGTACTAGCTAAATGTTTCCAAATTTGTTCCACTGAGTTTCTGCGCTTTCGTAGTAAAACAGCAAGGGCTAAGTCCATTGGTGGGCCCTCAATGCTTGCCCCGTGCTTTTTAAAGTAATCGCAGTTTTTAATTGTAATTTCGTCCGAGGTGGTTGTATGAAGTTGAAGTTAACCAATTTCATCCGTACTCGTCGGATCCTGCTCGATTGTTCATGTAATGTCCAAGCAAATATTCCCACTTTTTGTGGAATAACCGCGTTTTTTGCTTCAGAAGCACAAAAATTTAATAGTATATAATTGAATCGTCTGCTTTGGATACCCAGAGTACAGTTTACGCTGTAAAAGATACTTTCCATTATGTCATGATCCACATTTCAGTCCGATTGTTTTTCTTCTTTTAGAGGCGTTAAAATGTATGCTCAATTTCAATGAACCATCCAGAACTGATGACCCGCAGTGGAAGGTTCGTACTCCTTAACTTGTATACACCCTCCACTCTTCAGATTCTCATATATGATCGCGTTGGCCAGGATATTATTGCTCCTCTGTTCACTGTCAAGGAGCTGCGTAACTTAGGCGTTACTTTGCACATGCTCCTGGATGTCAAACGAGAGGCAATACCCGATGTACCTGCCATATACTTCATATATCCCTCTAAGGAGAACATCAGTCGCGTCTGTAAAGTGAGGCATTTTTCCTAGTCGCTCATAATTCTTTCGTTTTATAGGATTTCGAGTCGGATCTCTACGACTCGTATTATCTCAATTTTATTAGCCCGATTCCTCGTGAACAGCTCGAGATATTGGCTGAAAATGCCCTCGCCGAGGATTGCATCTCGCGTATTAAAAAGGTATACGATCAGTACGCCAAATTCGTCTGTTTGGAGGACGATCTCTTCGTACTTACTGAAGATTCTGGTGGTGTTCAAGACGGGACCTTCTATTGTAAGTTTTTTTTAAATTCGCGCCCTTGCTTTTGATTATGGTGGCTTTTGTTGAGTGGCTGACTAACGAAATACGAGTTAGGCTAAATTTATTCTTAATATGGCCACTATCGCACTCTCATGCACGATCTCTGAGCCGCCCACCCGGGGTTGCGTGGGGGCTAGGTCGTGTGGGGTACACCCACACAGAATGTCTAGCTCTTTCAGCCACTGCTTCAAATCTTTGCATCAGTTGACTGTCCGGTTCGGGCAACGGGTTGGTGTTTGGGAAAGAGATAAAAGAGTAAGGTCGGCTGTCTTAGGACGCGCTTTTAAACTGCCACGGGGCACGAAAAGACGTCGCTTGAATGGCTGTCAACTGGTGGGTAACTTTGACTTCTTCTCAGGACAGAGGATCAGGCTACAATGGCTCCTTCTTACTAAAGCTGAGTCGGTACTACCATGAAGCTAGTATCCGAGCCGCCCACGATTGTTTTTGTTTGAAAACTTGGTTCATCGTGCGCGGACCAGGCTTGTGTGGCATGCGTAGACGGGTTATTTAGCTCTGGCAGCCACTGTGCCCGATTTTTTTCCTCTGGGTTTCCCTACTCTGCCTTAATAATGGGCTCAAGTGGATGATGGAGGACAAAATGTGGTAGATGCTACGCAGGGCTACTATCGGTTTAAAAAAACTAACTCACTTGCACGGCGCCGCCCCTTAGCCCACTTTGCTGTGGGACCCACGGTGGACATCATCAGCATCGACGGCCAAACTCTCAGCATCCAATCCTATTGTATCCTGTCACCTTTTTTCTGCAATTGGACTCGAGTCCAGGATGAGCAACTAATCTAATATTTGGCCGCTCAAAGTTGACTTATGTTTTTGCTACTAGATAATATAACCTTTTGTCGTAGTTAGAAGTATTTCTGGACAATTCCTTTAGGCGGCTTCTGCTCTTGTCTCGATTTATAACGCTGCCATTTATCTCCGGTTTATGCCCTCAAACATTTACTCTCAACTTTGCTAAATCTTAAATGTTTGTGAACCTGAACCGTGCCAGCTCTCAACAAAATGAATTCTTCTGAGGCCGAGATTCAGACATCCGTGAGCACCATGGTGGAGGGTCTCTTTTCATTGTTCGCCACTCTTGGCTCTGTGCCCGTAATTCGCTGTTCACGCGCCAACGCGGCGGAGATGGTCTCTCGTGAGCTTGACGCCCGATTTCGTGACTGTCTGCGCGACTCACGCAACACCCTCTTCGC